CTATACCATAACCCTACTGCCACCATGGGCCACTCAATCCACAACTTTGACATCAGCAAACCTCTCACCCACACAACGCCATACATGCTGTCTGCCATCTGCCCTGAACCGTGAAAACTGGGATTCATCTGTGAAGAGAACACCTCTCCAAAGTGCCAGACCGCATCGAATGTGAGCATTTGCCCACTCAAGACGGTTACGACGACAAACTGCAGTCAGGTCGAGACCCTGATGAGGACGACAAGCATGCAGATGAGCTTCCCTGAGACGGTTTCTGAAAGTTTTGCAGAAATTCTTAGGTTATGCAAACTGATTGTTGCAGCAGCTGTCCAGGTGGCTGGTCTCAGACGATCTTGGAGGTGCTGGATGTGGAGGTCCTGGGCTGGTATGGTTACACGTGGTCTGCGGTCGTGAAGACATTGAAGACAGCTTATGGTAGAGAAATGAACATTCAATTCACTGGCAACAGCTCTGGTGGACATTCCTGCAGTCAGCATATCAATTGCACGCTCCCTCATAACTTGCGAGATCTGTGGCATTGTGCTGTGTGATAAAACTGCACATTTTAGAGTGGCCTTATAATTTTGTTCAGTGTAAATCCTTCATAGTAGACTGACTATTGCTTTAGACTTTTGGATCTCAAAGAGGATGTTTTCATAAATATTCTTGAACTCTTGAGCAGCTGACCTCATCACAGCCCTCATTAACGTCAACCCATACACAACTCAGGGGATCTACTTTTTGGACAGCCCTGGTCTAGAACATCAAGCTGGTTCCCACCTAAGGAAATGGAAACTTAGTTTTTAAGAATGGTCATGGATTTAATAAGAGGGACCCCATAATATTAGGTTAGAAGGGATAACAGTTTTGTTACTGATTCTAGAATGGTCAGGGAGGTGAAAAAAATGTATAAAAAAAATATACTAAGCAAATGTGCTGCAAGAGCAGAAACAGGGAGATGACAATGGAAATGCAGTAATCAGAGTAAATATATAAAAGGCCAAGCGTTAGGATTGTGTATATGTGTATATATATATATATATATATATATATATATAAAACAGGCAGCTGGCAGATGCATAATATGTTTGATGTTAAAAATGTTGCAAACCCTATGGCATGTGTATATATACGTAGGAAAAAGTAGAACGTCACTAGGTGATGCAAGTGTCTATTGACATATCCAAGTATAAGAACAGCAGTAACATAAAATGACACTTTGGGCAAGAGGTCAATATTATACATGTTGGCAATGTAATGGATGTGGACCCAAATGATGAACCAGACAATGTTGAGGTCATTTGTAATGTGTCCGGAAAACTGAGTCTACAGTGCGAGAAATTAGTGAAAATACACATTTACATGAGATGCACTCTCTCTCTATTTTTGGGGGTATTGGCGGCAGAATAAATTACTGTCTTTTGAATATTTAAATATTTCTCATTGTATTCTGGGAGAGCAGCTACATATGGGGGGGATTTTTGTAAAATTTGCAAGTGGTGTGAAGCTACTGTACGGAAGCCTTTGGCGAATTAAAAGAGTTTTTAATCACTTGTGAATTGAAAATAGAATTGCAACATTTAGGCCAAAATAGCAAATTTTGGAGATAATCTCCAAGTTGGCTTCTTTTGCCTGAATTTTACAATTTAATCAACAGTTAACAATAATTCCCTGTTTTCGGGGGAAAAAATGTTTGTGCAGATCAATGTTTTGACTGCTATTTGGTTCTCAATTCCAGGATATATTTCTTTATTCTTCATTCGTTGGTTGATGCCATTTAAAGTGGAGCTGTAATTATCCAGGAACAGACTGACCTAGCAGCAGGCAACTTCTTCTTAGATTTGGAATAGGCCAGAGGGTGTACCTTTTGTGAACTATTCATTTTGCCTTTGGCAGTCTTCAGGTGGTATACTTAAAGACGCAGGCCCATTGGAGTAGGACTGATGAATCAGCCCAGATTACTAGGTCAATGATTATCACACACACACTCGGATAGATCCTCATAAATGAAATCATTAGGGACACATGCACATAATTGGGGGAAGAAAACCAGTTTTTCATGTTTTTGAGAAAAGTTTTTCCAAAAACAGTGTTAGACTAACAATGAGAAATAATCAATCATATTGAATTATTCTTTTAACGATAGTGTAGGACCAGTGAAATAAATACTTGATTAAATAGTTAACTATTAATTTAAAAATAAAACTTGGTCAATCTTATCATTTCAATCACTGGGCATTTGTGGTGTTGAGGAAAAATGGTCTATTTTAGCTTAATTGCTTTACGAAAAATCCAACTGATATCCTGGTGACAGGTAACAATGGAATCCAAATATTTGTAAAGTCTTGTTTTGTAAAATGGGGATATGTACTCTCCAACTTTGTGGTTCAAGTGGAAACCAGCTGGGTTAATCACCATAGCATGAAATGTTGGGAATTTTACATGAATTCCAAATTAATTTAAAACATGAGGCCAAAATAGCCAAATTGTTACTAACAAAGTGAAAATTGTTGAGAATAAACATTCTCAAACTCAGCTATGCTTCTAGTTTGGCTATATTGCCTTTAAATTTGAAATTCACTTTGGACCCCCTACTTGTCATACTGAATAAAAATAAAAGTCGGTTGTGTAACATACTGAAATTTGCTTGCATACCTACACAAGGGTCAAATGTGCTCTATATACTGAAAATATTATAATACATAACATGAGTGGTCAAAATAGCAGAGGTTGCTATTTATTTCCTTGTGGGTAATTGTTTAATTTGGATATTTATGATTTTATTGCAATTGGGTCCCGGAGGAGACCTCAATGGGTGAAATGCGTAGGATCATTGCACTTTTTCTTTATTTTATATGTTTTATTTTTACCATTCAATTGAAGTTTTGGATACCTTCCAGGAGTCCTGCAAACCATTCCTGGTGTGGAGGCTGCAGTCAAGAGCAGAGGTCATATTGAATAGCCCCTCCAAGAATTCCAGGGGATTTTACTTACACCATGTCCTGTGAGTACATTTCTAACAGCGTAGATATTTTTTTTTTTTTAACTGTATTAAACTATGTTTGTATTTCTTTTGTAGATTCCCAGCTGTATTCCCTCTAAATGTTGCATTTTGTCTGTTTTGAGAGGGGTCATTGTATTGGATATCCCCTGGGGAAGCTGTATGTTATAAAATCTATCAGATACGTTCTTTTTAACCACACCAAGCACTTTAGGTGAGGGTGTGGGATATACATATAACATGAATGGTGACTTCACAATATCATGTGAAGCCAGTAAGCCATGTTTGTAATAAATAACAGGGAAGAATGTCTTGCCCGGCCAGACAGTGACTGATTTCTAAAGGGACATGGATGCCACCTGCAGTGTTCTAACCATTCAATCTCCTCATTAAATCCTCTCAAGACTCTGGTGTGTTCAAACAAACTTTGCATTCCTCACCCTCTCTTAATGAAAAGAAAACAACAGGAATATATTACAAAAATATTACACCCCAACACACACTGCTTTTTTATCATTAACTTTTCTTTTTTTTAAGGCCAAAAGGAAATACCTCATTGGTTTAATCAAGGGCATATGTGTTTGGACGAAAATGCTGGAAAGAATTAAAAATGTAAACACGCATTTTCTATAACTTAAGTGCATTTAAGAAACATTTTTCTACGTAAATACTTGCTCTTCCTGGAAAGATGGAATGAAACAGGACAAATAGATTTATAGTTTGAAGTCCAAAAAGACTTTACAGGAATATATAGGGGATTTGTAATGAAAATGCAACAAAAATCATTTTGGCCTATCCATTTACCAGGAAAATGTGGACATTTTACATTATATTGGTCAAATTTGTGTATTTTGCAGTGGCCCCATTCACCTCAATAAAACCCTAATTTTGTGTGCATTCTTAAATCATTATAAATAATGCACGATTAAGATGGGTGGTAAATCTGTCTTGGAACATGCTTAATGTATAAATAATGAAGTCTTGTTTTTTTATTTAAAAAGACCTCTCCACTTCCTAAAGTGCTTTATGGGTGAGGAGAATCCCATTAAAATACACATCTATGAGATATTGGCACTTTTATCATTTAATTATTTATCATTAAATAATGAACCACTCTCCTTTCTGTCAATCAAACAGACTGTGAAGTTTCCTGCCTGGTTCTGTTTGCTCCCCTAAGCTAACATAAGTGGCATGTGCACTCTACCTGAATGCTGAGCAGACGCATGCGCACTTGCAAACATGATTACGTATATATATATATATATATATATAATGCCATACAGGTATGGTTATTCACTAAACTGTTCATTGTTGAGAATTTAGAGGCAAATTGTACATTTTAAGCAAAATATTAGTTTGAAATAAAGCTATTTAGGCCATACATGTGCAATTATCAGGTGACTTCACTACATTTCACGGTTTAGTAAACAACCCTGCCTGTTTTTCTGTAAAGCAGGAATTTTCAGGAATTTAGCAGAAAATGGACTGACTGGAAAAATTCCTCAACTCTGCTACTTTTTTGGCCTGAAATCTGCAAGTCCTTGGTCTATTCCCAGCAATTACCAGTGAATAGCCTTGTAGGTGGTTCCAAATTACTACTATACCCTAACAATACCAGCTAGTGTTAGGATTAGATGGCTATTAGTCATTGTAAAAATATTTACACTCAAAGATTGTATCAGAAAGTTACAATAGATTTAAATTGAGAATGTATAAAGGAGATTTAAGACAAAACCCTTAATGATTTCTCTATTCAAATGCTAAGGTAATCTTATAGGCTGTAAATTGAAATAATCAAACACTTAACACATTTGTTTCTGTGTACATAACGTTTATGCAACAATTACATGTATGTTTTGTATACTCTGTACAGCGCTGATACATACATGTTTTTTTTTAATAAATACTAATAAATACATTTTCCTGGTGCAACATTGAGAGAATGTATTCAACAAATATAAAAGATGATTTAAAGGAACGCTATAACGTTAGGAATGAAAATCTGTATTCCTAAGGCTATATTACCCCTGTTCCCAGCTTTATATGTCCCCCCATTTGTGCTAAAATTAAATAAATAAAGGATTTACTCATCTTTTTCCAATAGAGAGGCTCCCTTACTTATCTGCCTCCCATGACGACACAGAGGGGGAAAGGCCTCCTCCACGATCGTCCAATCCAATGCTTTTCATAGAGGTACATTGGGGACCTGAGGTACATGCGCAGAGAACACTGCGTGCACCTCCAAGCTTGCTCGGTCAGTCCCACTCGGTCAGTCAGTTCGTCCTACCAAAGTGCCTCTAGTGGCTTTGAGATTTTCTTTTCTTCTCAAATGTATCCTATAGATACTATACTTATTTTTCTCAATAGTATTGATATTATTGACCTCAGAAGGATGTAAAGCTGAGTTGGCCCAGCAAGGAATCAAGGTTTAAACAGGATCTACAATGGGTGGATTATCCATCTGAGTTGTCTCAATTAAATATTTTTGGCTTCATTTGTTTTTTGTTCATCCAGGCCTGTCTATTCTTTATCCTGTAAAGAGGACCTCTGGACCTGTTAGGGAAGGGATTCCTGACATATGGACTATTCCAGCTAATCAGCCTATACAACTAATAATGATTAGCTAAGTAAATGTAATATTTAAAATATGTAAATGAGTGTTTTAAAGGGTCTGTACTGGGCTCACTCTACGTCTCACCAAGGCAGCACAAGAGCAGAAACCCTCTCCTTGAATTGCCATGCTCCCTCTTTTCTTATATTATTTTAGCTGTTTGGTTTGCTTGTTTTTAGTTTTTTAATTGTTTTCTTTTTTTCTTCTTCTTTTGTGGGAGTTTATTAGTTCCAGAGTCCAAAGAAGCCAACCACAAGCTCTTTTTAAGGAGACATGTCCAGTGGACAGCTGATGGTGTGTACAGTATAAGAAGTCAAATTGTGACATTTGTTGTCCATTCCTTGAGTGGTCAGTAACTAGCAGGTGTAATGCCATTTATTCTGCTTACGGAACCATCACTTTACTAAATGTTTTTTTGGGTGTATGAAGGGGCACAGGACTGAGTAGCCAAGCTGTACAACATGTTTTTGAATGTTTTACTACCATAGCATGGATCACTATCGGCACATGGAATTTAAAGCTTGGACACAATTAGTTTGGCAGTTATACTGTAGCCAGGAATATATTTAAAGGACCAATCGTATACGTTTTACTGTTATTTAAAATAAAATATTACATATATAATGGCCTCTGTGTATATTTTTGTAATGCATACATAATACTTAATACTCGTTTTCTCTTTGGACAGAATAAGCAGTCATCCGACCAAAGAAAATGTTGAATGGACAGCTGAAACCAGCTCAGAGTGTGTTTTTGAGATTAATCAGGATTAATGAACATGCACTATGTCTCACATACCTGTGCTTTTTGGTCAGTATCGCTTATCCAACCCAAGAGGGCTTGAAGATGGTTACCCACATTGAGCAAGTGCGACTCAGCAAATGCAGTAATAAGAGATATTTACTTACATTTACATAACAAAATAATCCGCAGTGGTTACTTTACATCTAATCTTTTCTTTTAAATAACAATAAATAAATAAAAAAATAATGACAGTTTTTCTTTAATTAACTCTAGATTTTTCATTGTATTTATTGTAAGTGAATGCGTTCTGGAGCTTTTGGGGAAAGTTACCTAGGAAATTAACAAGAGCAGCATATGGTTTATAATTTCATTTTCAGCAACGATCCCTATACTTCCTTATGAAATGACTGTTCGCAAATGTTTTCCTAAGTTTCTCTAATGACCATACAAAAGCTGAAAACTAAAAATAACAGTCACTATGTACACATGGATGAAGAATGAAAAGCAATATAAAAGACACACTAGTCCACCACTGTGTTATGGCAGCAGGTTAAATCATCCCTATGGCAAGACCAGAATCTTTTTCAATGGAGGATCTTAACACTTTATTATTATTATTGGCATTTATACAGTGCCAACTTGTTCCGCGGCGCTTTACAGTATTAGAAAGAGGAAATTCAACAATAAATTGGATCATTACAAAATGTTACAGGAACAGTAGGTTGATAAAAAACCTGCTCAAAGAGCTTACAATCTAGAGTTGAATGGCAATAGGTAGAAGAAAATGTATAAAACTTAGTAATAGATCCACAAATACCAACTATTTGTAAACTGTGTAATATACAGGTGCTACATAGGATGCAGAGCAGCAGGGGCTAGAGGGTGAGAGGCATAGGTGTTGTTGGGACGGGGATTTGGGGGCTGAGGACCCAGATCTTTACGATTAGTGGAGACGGCAGTATGATATTTTATTTTATTTGTATTTATTTTTAATTTTACACCAGGCTGCTGCAGCTCAAGAAAGCTGCTAATTACAACAAAAAAACATCAGTAGTATAATGCTCTCCCAGGCTATGTGGTGAGCGAAGGTGATGCCAATCCAAGTGACTATCAGGAAGGTGTGCTGGAGAACAGAACTATGATGCACAGGCCTCTATTATTTCACTATAGAGTCAAGATCACATTGCGTGCTTGGCTGTGTAGCATATATCTGACTATGTTTAGCAGCTTGTTTCTGGTTATGCGTTAGTTGAGATCGAAGAAGAGATCTAATTGTTCATGGCTAGAAAGTAGGGGACACCATATAGATGGGGACAAGTAATGGCACTCTGTTAGCATGGGGGTCGTTGAGTTTCCCTGGTGTTTCTGGAACCTATCAATGTCCCTTGTGATATGGGACAGAAATATATAGGGTTTTACAATAAGAAACAGAAAATGGATCAGTTCAATTAATCATACAAAAAAAATATCAGTATTTGTAAGTAAGTCATTATTTATCTTTGAGTGAGAATAATAGAAAAAAAAAATTCTCTCAGCAGTCAGAAAGGTGAGGCGTATTTACAGACCCGTGTGCCTTTGTAAGATGAATGCATTGAAAGTGTTAAAGCTGTGTGTTGTACATTAAAGTCATCAGGCAGCGACTGGGTTAATTAAAGGATTATCGGACCTAACTTTGCCCCATTGTGTACTCTCCTGTCCTGGTTCTAGCTGAGTCTGCTCTGCATTATGTGCTAACCTGGCCACATTGAGTTACTGTTTTCTTTTTTTTATCTTCTGGTGGGGGGTGTTAGCCAGAAGAAAGTCACTGTGTGATTAAGCTATTCCCTTTGCTGTTATTTTTACTAATGGACCAAGCTCCATGCAGCTCCATTGATATTGTAATGAGTCCCAGACAAAAGCTCTAATCAGGGTTGGGTGTGGTAAGCAGCTCAAGAAGGTGGGGGAGGGTGATCCAAGAATTAGTTTTGCCACCATTTTATGACTTGGAAAAGGTTGTTAATCCTCTGAGTCTCTTGGTGTCCAACCAGCACTAGACTTGTCCAGTACAAATCTATATGGTTGAGGAGAAATCATCAGTCTGTGCCATCCTCTACAGGCCGACCACATCAGTTGAGTATCAAGAGGTGTGCCTCCACCAGTCTGGCCAAATCCATGACAAGCTACAAGATGTATAATTATATGTCATGTATTTAAGCTCAACTCAGAGGGGTTGACATGGCTGAGAGTGATGAATGTCTTGTGCAAAGTGAAAACACACAACTAAGCTGATATAGATTTATGGCACATGGGGAAAATATTTAGCTACTTGAGCCTCCCTAAATCTACAAAGAATTGTGAAGCCTGTGTATTTCATGCTAAAATGGATGATTGAGCACAGTAGGAAACTCCCTAAGTTAAAAGGGTAATCGTGGACCCCGTGCTCACTGTGCTCAGATGGGTATCAACTGAAATTTCATTTGGGCGAACCGACTCCAACAAATTCTAATCACAAGTCTAAAAGTTATACCCCTGAAGGGGTTAGGGGCAAAAGAGACACCCCTTATCATTATTAGCATTTAAATAACACCAACATTTTCCTCACTCCCTTGCAATTACACAATGGGGATATTTCACAATAAAACTGACATAGACAAATAATGTTGACAGATACAGTAGTATTTGGGGTTCATTTGGGGTTTTTGTCCCCAAAGTCCTCTCCAAGCAAGGTCCATTTCGTATCTTATTTATTACTTATTACATAATTATTTACGTTCATATTTTGTCATTTATATTGTCCTGCTACTTCTTTGGGCTTAACTTAAATAAATACACACTTGGAGTATTTCTTTATATTATATATATATATTATATTTCTTATGCATTTAATGGTAATTTATTTCTGTTGTGTAAACATCCAGGATAGAGGCAGAATTTGTCCCAATGAAACTGCAATGACAATATATAAAAAATATATAAAAAATAAATGATCAAAAGGTATACTTTAACAGGGTGTAGATGTAAAGTAACATCAGATATATAAACATTGAAATCACGAACATTTTAAGTTAATCGTGAAGAACACAAGATTATTGATTTTGCAACATATGCTTGCTAAGTGCTCCATTAATTACACGGGCCTGTACTGTAGCTCCGGTGGCCCAGAACCCTCTCCAGCACGTTGCAGCCTGCTAATGGCCAAACAGAGAAAAGTGAGGTTTATGATAAAAAAGCGAGGGGGGACTTGTGTCATAATAAATCACAGGGTCACTTTCATAGTTTGCTATTTGCTAATTGCTTGAGTAATTAACTGAGACTTTGCACAGCAAATGTCATAAAATGGTGCTGAGTCTCATTAGGAATCATTTATGACACCTCATAAAATCACTGTGTATATAGAGAGAGCAGTAAATAAGTTGGCCAGCACCTTCCATACTTCCATGGATAGGTGTAAGGGGGACTAATGCAATTGTCCCTCTACAGTTATTATTGCACATTAACTAATCAACGGCTCCTTGTCTGTCCCTGAAATACCTTTTCCTTCCACAATAGAAGACACTGTGGTTCCATAACAAGACTGATTTAGATGTCTTAAATAAAAGGGCAGAGCAGGACAAAACGTAGCAAATCTAGGAGCCAGACAGGCTGTTTTAAGTGCTGTCTGATCTTTAAGGAACCAGGGAAAGCAGTTTTCAGACAGATCTGTGTAAAACAAAGTGAGTCACTAGTAGTAACAACTACAGTACATGGGTATGTGACTCTCAGCATTTGTCTAACTCCTCAAGTGCCCTCATTAAAGTGACCATTAAAGTGATGCTATCAGGCAAGCTTTTGGAGAAAAAAAACAAACCATACTTGAGGACTGTAATTAGCACAGCGTGGTCAGTAGTCATTATAGTACCCAATGCTGGCATAACAAATGCATTTTTCTAATCTATTACTTTATCCGTTAAATGGTTGCAAGAGGGTCCACATTATAATTTTAATTAATGACACCATTTTTACTTTTCTCTTTTTACAGTTTTACTGCCTGAACCATACATATGTATATGTGTACTTGATAAAAAATGCTTTTTGTGACCAACTTAGTGTTGTGCAGGTTGTATAATGAATGGGCTTATAGGTTGATGGGCTATTAACCTGTGATACTGAATGTAAACATTTTAGATTGATATTGAATCTCGGAACATAATCATATGTCCCTTCCATTTCCGCTTCCCTTTGCTATACGGTGGGAGGGTAACACCTAAATGCCCAGTTATGTGCACTGAAGCAGACATACAAAGAGTTAAAGTGGGTACTCCGATCAAAGACATTTTGTAGTTATTCTCTCATTAACCACGACAACTCAACACAGCATGCCAAGATCTAATTTCCTTCTTATACTGCAGGGCCAAAATTAGTTTACAGTTTCATTTTGCCAACCTAGGTCTGCTATATATAGGGTTTCATGGGCAGTGTGTAAAAAGTTTTGCCCTGTATGTAACTATACGCTGCAGGAGGGAAATCAGTTAAATAATAATAATGGCAATTCCTTTGGGATCCTTGATTAATAATTGGCTTTCCTTCCAACAGCAGGCAAACTTGTTCTGTTTTCAAGACAAAATGGTGGATGTGGCATCTCAAGCTAAATTTAGGCCTGAGTTCACTAATCAAGTAGTATTAAAATTATTTCTTATTGTTAATAAAAGATATGTCACCGGCGCTAAATTAAGACCCTGAATCATACCCTTATTTATGTCTCTTGTACCAAACCCAATAAAAGATGCTTAAATGATAGCACTGAAATACTGCTCTATCTTTAACCATGATATACTAGTTGGTGTTCTAATTTAACATCAGGAATGTGCCCCGTTCTGTAATAACATAGATACCGAGTCCCATAAAAATATTTTGACAGGAGAAGTTACCAGTGTAAAGAAAAGTCCAAGGTTTCTCATGAACTCTAACCAACAGAGAGAAGCATCTTCTGACAGCAAAAGATTAGGTTCAAAGAACAGATTGAATTTTACCTCCCTAAAATCCTTAACCGTGATTATTATTTTGTGTAAAACACCTTGCACAGCACAGAACACTGCCAATATATCTTAATTTAAACGGTGCCTGTCACTTAAGAAAAACACATTAAACCATAAAACATTAACGAATATACTGTTCAGAGATCTTTTTGTTGTTATTCCGTTATTTTCTACAAAATATAATTTTAATAATGTAATAATGTAATATAATTTTAATAATGTAT